AATTATAAACCGGTTTATTATTGACCCGAATTAAACCGAATTTAAAGTCGAATTATAGTAACCGGTTCCGACCTCTAATTTTAATCAATATAAAATTTAAACTCACATATGTCAATTATTAATTGACAGAAATTTGAAAGTGATTCTAATATATTAACCGTACGTACGATCAAAACTTTCGTACGTCCGTCTGAATCTATACTGCCGTACAGTACTACTTTTTTAAATATTTATTGATTTTTATTGCATAAGTCTTATTTTTTGTAAAGAACAAACAATGATATATTTGTCAAATTACCGTAAAACAAATAATTGATTAATATGATGTTAAAGATATTAATGTTGAAAAATTAAATATGTAATACAACCAAGAAATTTTAAAAAAACTAACATAGTAATAGAAAAAAAAATGAATTGAATATAAAATTTTATATAATCGATAAAAAAAGAAAAAAAAATAACTATAAAGGTTACTAGCAATAAATTTGTAAAAATATATAAAAATAAAACCAAATTTGAAAATGGTTTTAAAGATTTATACTTATTGTTTTTATATATTTTTTTCTTACCAACATTTTGACTTAATTGATTCCAGGATTGAATATATTCATTATTAATAGTAATTTCATTAGGTAATCTAATTATATTAATTAATTCAATATTATTATACGGATCATATTCAAGAGAAAAATCCCTATAATAATAAGTATTATTATAATAATCATATTTATTATTTATTTGAGAGCTTTGTGTATTATTTTCGATAAATTGATAATGAGAAGTATTCACAAAATGAGTTAAATAATAAGTACCATTAAGAAAAAAATATTTAATATAAGTATACTCAATAGAAGAAAAATCAAAATTATCATTATAATTATCATAATAAGTATAATTGTAATAAGTGTTATTGTAATAATACTGTGTGCCATTGTGGTCGAATTCATACGAATATGGTCTTATTTCACCATAGCTTACAAAATAAAAAGCGATGAGTAAAAAATAAAGCATATAAACCATAAAGCAAGTTAACTGAATTATATCGTATAATCTAGAGCTATAAATAAATATGTCAGATATTTAATTCAAATATTAGTACATTAAACTTAATTCAGGCAAATATTTAAAATAATGCCATTGGACATCATTTCACGTTAATATGATGTAAGAATTATATTCACCTTTGAGGTTTATTAATCATGGCAAATAAGATTTGAACAAAAATTAAACTGCCATATATAGGAAACACAACTGTCATTCCATAAAAACCTAAATCGAATTTTATTGGTTGATATTCGTACGTTCGAAAGAATCGTGGATAAAAAGCGACGATAATGAAAAATAAAATTGAAATTGAAGAAAAAATGCCCTAAAAATAAAATAAATAATAAAATAAATAATAAATATATAACCAAATAATGAATAATTTAATAATTTTTTATATTTACAGATGCAAACCATGAAAAAAGAAAATCATAAAGCTGGTATATAACTTTTGTTTGCAAACAAATCTTGTAGAATATAGTGTCTATTTTTCCAGATATAATAAAAATGCGTAAAAGCATAAAAGCTAGCAAGAAACGATTTATTTATATGACGCTTTTGTTGGTGAATTAATTCTGGTAAATTTTCAGGTATATTTGTTTCAGCATGAGCAGACTTTACATAATGTAATTTCCAATGATGATTGTGTCTTGTAACCAAATCAAAATTAAGAGCATGTTCATTAGAAAGACATATATTATTAGTGCAACTTTGAAGGGCACTATAGCGATAGGTAGAAAAACCTTCAGATAAAGAACTTATATAGCCAAAGATTGATTCAAATGGCTTATCCAAAATATATATCAATTTATAATTGAAAATTTGGGCACCCACAATTGGGTTTAATAATTTGCTCCTGTATCCATCTTTTGTTATTTCTATATTACCGCAAGCACCTGCAATTTCAGGATTAATTGAGAATGCATTCCACAAGGCATAGAGAGATCCATAACCTTTAACAAATATAGCATATAAATCAGTAAATAACTAGAATAATGAATCATTCTGCAAATTACATGATAATAATAACATTTATTAATCTCAAGTATATATATTCTCTAACCTGGTTTAACACCAACGTCAATAAGAACACATAATTTGGGATTAAGGATTGGGCAAAAAGCGTTAAAAAACCATTGAGAAGAGTCATCACTATGCTTGCTCTGTTCGGTAAGACAGAAAAGTATTTGAGCTGGAGCAATTCCTTCATCAATCTTCATTTCAACAGAATTTTTAAAATGTTTAACTGAAATAAGAGTTGTATATTCATATATATGCGCTTCAACAGCTTTATTGTTCACTTTTGATTTTGCAATATTATTCTGGTAGACACCAAGAACATTAAAATATGCCAAAACATGTTCATTAATATCACTACGGCCATTAGAAATTATGCATATGACAACCTTTTCCCATCCATCATTACCCTTATCAAATCATATAAATAGAAAAAGATTTAGATTAGAAGATAGATAGCCTCTATATTTAAAAAATAAATAAGATACCTACCCATGTTGGAGAATCGCTGATCGAGCAAAGGTAAGTAATATTTTCAATTATTCCATCAAGAGTATGCGATAATAGAATTTCGTTATCCTATTAATGCAAATATAAAATAGAATTTGTATTATTTATAGTATTACATAATTATATAAATTATCCACTTACATCACACATATTTATTAGGATAAACAACTCAGTCTTTCTTTTATACTCTATTTGACGTAATATAAGACCTTTTTCTTTAAAAGTTTCTGGCTTGCTAGTGCATGCCGTATATCTCAAATGAGTGAATTCCTCAGAATTGTGAGAAATATTTTTTAATATATTTTCAGGTATGGAGCAACTTATTATCAAATTTCCATTCAATAATTCTACACTTTCATGTCGATAAGGTGTCTGTCCTATAGGATCTTTAAATTCATCACGCTTCTGCTGATAAGATTCTTGTTCTGAAGGTTCTTTAGGATCGATATGAATCATTATACTGTCTCAATAGAAATTTTGAGGTATCAATCTATTAAAGAAATGTTATTTAATTGTTGATTCTAATCTATCGTGAACATTATACTTACGGGCTTGTTGTTTAGAATGTATGTATTTGACTAATAAGAAATAAATCATCAAAGCGACAATTTTAAACATATATATATAACAAAGTTTATACCCGTTGGTATCGTCACTTTTACGGCCACTATTATTTTTATTCGGATCGACTTTGAATGAATTTATAATTTTCAATAAGGTTAAATTGATAGGAATTTCTGATAAACTAACTGATCGTAATATAAATACTAACATGTATTAATGGAGAGAATTGAGTCTGTATCGTAAGAATGAAAAATAAGTTGCTGTATTTGTCGATTATTAATGGTGTTGGTAATGAATTCAACAGTTTCAGTCGATAACTTTTTGAGCTCAATTAAAACTTCATTCAATTTTGGACGTAGATCCGGATCAGAAGACCAGCAGTTTTTGTAAAGGTTGACATAATGTGGTGGAGTATTTTCAATAGTTTTCTCCCTTTTATTTTGTGAAATCTCTATGATTATGGCTCGATCAGGAAAGTCACTAAATGGAGGGACTCCGCTTGTAAGTTCCCAAAGTAATACGCCTAGGCTATAAATATCTGATCTTTGATCGCGTTTAACGTTCCCATCCTGAAGATAGCACTGTGGTTCGACATATGCTGGAACACCACCCTTATCCGAACTTGAAGTTGTAGTATCATTTAAATGTTTTGATATTCCAAAATCAGTAATCAAGGCTATACCATCATTTATCAAAATATTCTTTGAATGCTAAAAAAAACTTTATGCATGAGATTTCATTAATTCAAACTTGAGCAGAACTTAAAGCATTTTTAAGCTTACTAAATCCCGATGAATAATGCGTTTATCATGTAAATGCTTCAGTCCATTCGCGATATCCCTTGCAATTTGGATAAGCTCGGTCCATGAAATTTTATAGACACCTTCTATTTGTTTATTTTGTAAATAATCACGTAGGTTACCATTATTGGCATATTGAAGCACTAGCATGAAATTTCCTGTTGATTCTGAAGTTTATGCATTGTTTATATGTTAATTAAAGGATCATTATGCATACATATGCTTATATTTAAATTGAATATTGATTATACCTCTTGAAACTCCGTAGAATTTTACAATATTAGGATGATTGTCGATGGTGTAAAGAAGTTTAAGCTACATGTGATTTGGTTTATTATTATTATTATTATTTGGATATTAAGATTCTAAACACGAATAGTGAAGAATATTACCTCACGCCTGAATTGTTTGAATTCTTTATCATTCAAACCCAAGTTATTATTTAAACTTTTTAATGCATATTTTTTTCCGTCAAAAACGGCTGAATATACAATAGCAAATCCCCCTGTTCCAATGAATTTACGATTTATGTGTTGTGAATAATCAAATATTTTTATATTGTTTTCTTTAAAATATAATAACAATTTTTCCGAATATTGAATTACTAATATCAGATTTACGTTTAAGGAATTAGTGTTACGTTAATTAGTAGTTAAAATTTCGATATATAAAACTCACATGTTTTCTCTGATATGTCTTCCATGTCTTCTGTTTAATGACTTCAGGCAAATTTATTTTTTATGATTTCGTATTTTGACAGAATACAAATTCAAGAAAAATTAAGTTATTAGGTATGACCTGTTGCTTCGCCAATTCCGAATTTATAATTAACTATATGCAACATATGGGCAACTCTTAGTGGTTCGGTGATATTGATCTTGTTGAGATAAAACTATTTACACATCATTCCTGGAAAGTTCTATAAAGAACACTCTATCTACTGATCTATAACGATACGATACAAACCCACCCATTATCGTTGTACAATTGAAAAAATTGGTTATATTAGTAATCTATACGTCACACATGTGAATACTACTTTAATACAATAAATCTTTTCTGTATTTAAAAAAAAATATCCATGTAACCTTGTACATTGTATTAATATATTCTCTCATTTGTATTGATTCATGATTAGCTTACGAGATATATGTTATAGAAAAAGATTGCTAATCAGCTTAAAATTTGTATCACTATTTATAGTGACTACAAAATATGGATTTTGATTTGTTGGTTCGATGGTTCGAATCTATCCTTTAACTTATTGTACTGTATAAAAGTAATTTCGTGCAACGATAATAGATTATAGATCAAATTAATATCAAAGTCGCTGAACTACTAAGAGCTGCCCATATGTTACATTTATTTTTCGCTTATTTGTGTTAAAAAAATTAATCATAAATTCGGAATTGGCAAAGCAGCAAGTCATACCTAGTAACTTCTAATTTTTCTTGATTTCGTATTCTATCAAAATACGAAATATAAAAAAAAAAAAAATTTATCTGCAAGTCATTAATCCGAAGATTCTGAAAATATGTCAGAGAAAACATGTAAGCTTTTGCGTTAATAAAATTTCGACTATTAATTTATAAAAATATTAATCTCTTAAGCATTAATGTGATATTAGTAATGCAATATTCGGAGCAATTATTGTCATTTTTTGAAGACAACAATATAAAAATCTTTGATTATTCACAACACAAAAACCGTAAATTTATTGGGAAAGGAGGATTTGCCATTGTATATTCTGCCATTTTTGACGGAATAAAATATGCACTAAAAAGTTTTAATAATAATTTGAGTTTGAATGATAAAGAATTTCAACAATTCAGCCGTGAGGTAATATTATTCATTATTCGTGTTTAGAATCTTAATATCCAAAAAAAAAACCTAAATCATGCATAGCTTAAACTTCTTTGTACCATCGATCATCACCCTAATGTTGTAAAATTCTATGGAGTTTCAAGAGGTATAATTAATATTAAAAGTTTAAATATATACATATACCTTATGATTATCATTTAAACAATAATGTACGTAAACAATAATTCACTTAGAGTCAACAGGAAATTTCATGCTAGTACTGCAATTTGCCAATAATGGTAACCTACGTGATTATTTACGAAATAAGCAAGTAGCAGATGTCTATAAAATTTCATGGACTGAACTTATCCAAATTGCAAAGGATATCGCTAATGGATTGAAGCATTTACATGATAAGCGTATTATTCATCGGGATTTAGTAAGTTTAAAAATGCTCTAAATTCTGCTCAACTTTGAATTAATGAAATCTCATGCATAAAGTATTTTTTTTTAGCATTCAAAGAATATTTTGATAAATGATGATAGAGCCTTGATTACTGATCTTGGAATATCAAAACAGTTAAACGATACTATTACTTCAAATACAGATATGGGTGGTATTCCAGCATATATTGAACCACAGTGCTACCTCCAGCGTGAAAATGTTAAACGAGATCAAAGATCAGACATTTATAGTCTGGGTGTATTACTTTGGGAACTCACAAGTGGCGTTCCTCCATTTAATGGTTTTCCTGATCGGGCAATAATCATAAAAATTTCACAAAATAAAAGGGAAAAAACTATCGAAAATACACCGCCACATTATGCCAATCTTTATATGAATTGTTGGTCTTCTGACCAAAATCAGCGTCCGAAATTAAATGAAATTTTAATTGAACTCGAAAATCTATCAACAGAAACTGTTGAGTTCATTACAAATCCCATCAATAATCAACAAATGCAGCAGCTTAATTTTTACTCGTACAATGCAGGCTCTGCACTTTCTATTAATACATGTAAATATTTATATTATAATCGTTTATTTTATCTAATGTCTGAACATACCTTTATTAAAACTAATACATATATACTAAGACGACTCGAATGAACTTGAAAGTAATCCTAAAGATGAAAATAACGATGCCAACAAGTATAAATTTTTCTGTTTATTTGTTTTAAAATCTAATTCATTTCTTATTAATCAGATACATATATGCTAAATAACTAGTCCGTAAGTAATAATGTTCTTAAGATATTATCGCTCATAATTAAATAACATTACCTTGATGAATTACAATCTCAAAATTACTATTGTTACAGTATAACGATTTACGTCGATCCTAAAGAACCTTCAGAACAGGAATATTACAAACAGGAGCGTGATGAATTACTAGAACCTTCAGGACAAACACCTTATCGATTAAAGAGTGTTGAATTATTAAATGGAAATTTAGTATTAGAGTGTCCCGTATCTGAAAATATATTAAAAAATATTCCTCACAATTCTAGGGAATTCACTCATTTGAGATATACGGCTTGCACAAGCAAACCAGAAACTTTTAGGGAAAACAATTTTATACTACGCCAAATTGAATATAAAAGAGAAACTGAACTTTTTATTATGATAAATATGTGCGATGTAAGTAGATAATCTTTTTATTATATGATAATATAATATTGATGAATGACATATAGCTTGTATTTTCACATAATAGGACAACGAAATTTTATTATCATATACTCTTGATGGAATAATGGAAAATATTGCTTACCTTTGTTCTCTTAGAGATTCTCCAACTTGGGTAGGCATTTTTTTTTATTATTAACAATTGTACAGAAGTTATCTTTAATTTAACCCTTTCTTTGTTAATATATTTTGATAAGGGTAATGATGGGTGGGAAAAGGTTGTAGTATGCATAATATCTGATGATCGTAACCATATTAATGAACAAGTTTTGGCATATCTTACTGTTCTTGGTGTTTATCAGGATAATATTGAAAAGTCCAAAGTGAACAATAAATTTGTTGAAGCACATATATATGAATATACAACTCTTATTTCGATTAAACATTTTAAAAATTCTGTTGAAATTAAGAGCGATGAAGGAGTTGTTCCGATACAGATTCTTTTTTGTCTTATAGAACAAAGCAAAAAAGATGATCCTTCTCAATGGTTTTTTAATGCCTTTTGCCCGGTTCTTGTCTTCAAAGTATGTGTTCTTGTTGATGTTGGTATTAAACCAGGTTAGATAATTTACTTGAGATTATATTTTATGATTTTCAGAATATCTCTTTATTCTATATATTGACTTACTGATTTCTATGCTATAATTGTTAAAGGTTACAGATCTCTCTATGCTTTGTGGAATGCGGTCTCTACAGATTCAGATATTGTAGGCGTTTGTGGTAATATAGATATTATAAAAGGTGAAAGCAAAATCAAACTATTAAACCCAATTGCTGGTGCTCAAAATTTCTATTATAAAATGTTATATAGTTTGGATAAGCCATTTGAATCAATATTTGGCTATATTAATTCTTTATCCGAAGGTTTTTCTGCTTATAAGTATGAAGCTCTTCAAAGTTGTGCTAATAATTTATGCCTTTCTAATGAGCATGCACTTAATTTTGATTTGGTTACAAGTAAAGATCATCATTGGAAATTGCATTATGTAAAGTCTGCTCATGCTGAAACAAATATACCTGAAAACTTACCAGAATTAATTCATCAACAAAAATGCCACATAAATAAATATTTCCTTGCAAGCCTTTATGCTATTACACATTTTTATTGCATCTGGAAAAGTGGACACACTATTTTTCACAAGATTTGTTTACAAATAAAAATTATATACCAAGCTTGCGATTTTCTTTTTTCATGGTTTGCATCTGTAAATATAAATTTTATTTATTTATTTATATTTATTTTTACAGTATTTTTAATTTTATTTTATTAAAATTTTTAGGGCATTTTTTCTTCAATTTCATATCTATTTTTCATTATTAATGCTATCAATCCATTTTTTGTTGTTGTAACTAGTGAAGATAAACCAAGTTACAGTTTTGGCTATTGTGGTGTGATGGCTGCATTTATTATTTATGGTACTTTGATTTTTGTTCAGATTATTTTCGCTATAATTAATAAACCTCAAAGGTAAATCTATTTTTTATAATGTTAATTCATATACTAATATTTTAATTAATCATGCTATATTTTTATTTAATAGATCTAGATTGTATGATAAAATTCAAGTGATTTGTCTTATAGTTTATATGCTTTATTTGCTACTTGATATTTTTTATTTTATGATTTATAGTGAAACAAGACCACATTCATATAGATTCTTTTATAGCGATATTGCATATGAACGTAATGATACTTGTTATTTTTATGTTTCTGACCCTTATAGCTATCCAACTTTTACTAAATATTATTTTCTTAATGGTACTTATTATACAACCTATGTTTTAAATTTTACTTTTGAGAATTACACTGGCTATTATGATTATTATTATTATGATAATACTTCTATGGACTTTAATCTTGAATATGATCCATATAATAATATTGATATTATTAGATATAGCTGTTTATCTTTAATTCTTCCATATATTTTATATTATATTTCAAGCTTAATAATGTTAAATCCATGGTATATACTTTATAGTATTTTACAATATATCTTGATGATTCCACTTTATGTTAATAGTGCTTTTTTTAATAACTTTGTAAGGTTTGTAGTATGCCTTTAAATATAAAATCTTAATTATTTTATTATATATTAATTATTTTTATATAATTTTAGCACGAAGACATATAGCTTACCGGATCTGAAAAATTTTGTTTACTCATATGACAAAAATATTATAGAAATTAAGTTGCCAAATGAAATTACTATTAATAATGAATATATTCAGGCCTGGAATAAATTAAGCCAAAATGCTAACATAAAAAAAATATATAAAAGTAATAAGCACAACTCTTTAAAAACATTTTCAACTTTGATCTTATCATTAAATATTTTTACTAATTTATTACTAGTAGTCTTTATTATATCTTTTTTTATGATTTTAATTAATTATGCAAAATTTTACTTTTTATTTATTTTTTCGTTTATTAATGTGTTAGTATTTATAAAATTTCTTGGCTATATTATATATTTGATTTATTAAAATTAATAGATTAAGCGTTATATTAGTTATTGATTTTTTAAAGTAATTAATAGATTAAGCGTTATATTAGTTATTTATTTTTTTTAAAGTAATTTAAAGTATATTTATTATTTTTATATAAAAGTTAGGCTTATAATAATTAACAAAATAAACCATTTTCTTAATATTCCAATGCTAATGTATTATTCGAATTTTTACTAATGTCTTCGCTATCGATTGAATATATAGATAAAGTTAAATTATAAATAAGCAAAAAACGATTAAACGTTTTGAATAAGTATACCAGAATATTTAAAAGGTAGTCACAGTTAAAGGTCAATATTTCATAGTAAAAATTTTACTAATTGTAATTTCGAATTTTGGCCTAAATTAAGCCTAATTCGGAGCCATTATTCAAAATAACGCCCCTGCATGTTATTTCGCGCATAGCTATTTACTATAAATGTCGATCATTTATGCCCGAATCTAGGTTCGACAAAAAATGCGCGGCAGATTCTCGATTTGATTGGCTAACGGTCGAGGATCTAAAAATTTTGGCCTGCACTACATAATTGTTTATTAATTTCCGGCCGAAATTAACTTTTTAAAATTTTCAATACAAAAATAAAATTTATAAAAAATATGCCCGCATTATAGTAAAATTAGCCCAGGAGTAATTTTTCGCTTAATAGGCGGCTGTGGTTTCATTAGTAAAATTATGAGTAATTCTGGCCTAATTTTTGATCGTCGCCTATAGCCAATTGTTCTGCCGCTCATTTTTTGTGTGGCACTTAAACTGCTGCTTCGCTTTGTGACCTAAATCTAACGAAGTGATATAGAATGCCTTTTTACATTACTTTGTAGGTGGCATGTAATTCTTTAAAATATTTTATAATTACATCTATGTACGTGATTCCATCATTCTATAAGAAAATAGATTAAAAGATTATTAAAAAATCACAAGAAAAAAGTGATGTATCCGACATGAAATAATGATTAATATTATCCATTTTTTCCTTTTCTACAATTTTGATTTCAAAATAAAATATCTCATCTGTGAAGTGATTGGATGATTTGCTCGAACTATCACAGGTTGAATCAATGAATATCGGGTGCATACCGGAAGATAAGTTTCCTGTTTTGTACCCGATAGTCTGCCATAGATCCGCCAAATACCTGCTGAATATCAGCAGCATATGTGCAACATATTGGTAAGATATCGGGAAGTAAATCAATATCGGTGATATAACAGCACAATATTAGGATACCCTGATATCTTACTCTTAGCATTCTGGGCCTAAGAGTAAGATATCTGGATATCCCAATATTTTGCTGTTATGTTGCTAATATCGATCTACCTCCCAATATCTTACCAATATTCTGCCAGTATGCTACTGTTATTCAGCAGTTATTTGGCGGATCTATGGCAGACTATCGGGTACATAACAGGAAACTTGTCTCCCAGTATGCACCCGATATTCATTGATTCAACCTGTGTATAACAGCTTTAAATGCATCTGGATTGTAATTAAAAAAGTTTTTAATAAGTTAAAAGCTATGATAATAGTTTTTTTTTTTATACCAATGATTAAGCCCACAAATATTTTCTTCAAATTTTTCATTTTCGTTTGACCTGTATAATTTACTTTTCCTTTTGGACCTATGTCAATTAATGGCGATTTATCTTCAATATCCGATGCAGTCTGTAAACAATATCATTGTACGAAGTATTAATTCTAAATCTTCCATCAGGTAAAATTCTTTCGTTTAAACGACTAGTTAATATATAAAGGCAATTTAGAAATATTGATTTCGTACGTGAATACAAAATGTGTATTTGTATGCAAATTTTTAAAACGTGATCTTAAAGATTTATTAATACAGTATCATATCTTGAATGCGTGTCAGATTGGCAGCGTAGTAACAACCAAATTCAAAGAAATTTTTTTATCATCTATGATTATTATATGAATATGTAGAATTAAATAAAGAAAACTGACTATTTATTGTACTATTTTTTGTGAAACAATGTGCTTTGTCTTATTTTATAATTTTAAATGAGATATAGTTTACAACTTTAATAGTCTTAAAACGTGAAGTGTAAAAATTATAAATATAACGTTTCTTTTTCATATTTTTTATTTACTGAATACTGAGTGGCTTTTAATTTAGTATAAATTAATAATGTAATCAAAGTCAACAAAAATTTCAAAAATTAATCATAGCCTTTTATGTAAGTTTGTCCGAAAGCCCGGATTCATTAATATGAAAGGAGCAGAATTTTAATATACATATAATAAATCTTAAAACCTAACATTTACAATTCGTATATAATTTTTTAATAAGCTTAACTATATAATAATGCTATAATTACCTACAAGCTTTTTTCTTCGTCAAATTAGTTATTACTTGGTATGCTTGTTGATAATTTGTATTTCAAGCTATGTAACTGCGTCTACATATTAAATAAATATTTCAAGCCTGCATATTGCTACTACCAACTTATAACCCAGATCTTAATGTATTTAATTACTTTTCTCTATAGTAGTAAGATTCCTGGGCATGTTTTGTAATAAATTATATCTACACTTTTATAGTTGTGTGGCATTATGAAGCTTAGGATTCTTAAAAGGCAAAATTTTATTTCTTTTTACAGTAATTCTTAGTAGTTGTAGCCCTAGTTAGAGAAGTGTTATTTATCTTCTGATTTTTTAGCAGGGGTGGGTGACAAAATAGATCACCCATATATGTTTATATGTAATCGTAATAATTTGAGGGAGGGGGAGATTTTACTATTTACAAAAATCAGATAATAAATGACACTTCTTTTACTGCTATATGCATTTATACCTGCTATATCTACTTATGTTAGCTATTTTGGTTTTAGTAGTCTCAGGCCCTTATAGTATCTACAAACTCCTACATAGATATGTCTAGAGCTCTATTAAGTCTTAATATATATGTACCTCAAAGCTTCTGCTTCTTATTAAGTAAAATAGTTCTACAAAGTACAAAGATATTTTAAATTTAGTAAGACTAATACTTTATCATAAATATTTTGTATTTGCTACTTTTATTACTACTCAAATTCTAGTTACTATCTAGTTATTTTTCAATCAAGATCTCCAATACTGCTTTAAAGGTTGATAGTGCTATCTGTATTTTTAAGAATTTATATACACTAGGAAAACAGAAGCTGTTATAAATCTGGAGAAAATTAAAAAATGTGTTGTGATTAGTTACATAGGTAAACAGATAGACAAAATCTGCTAAGGCCTCTAGTATATGCATATTATTAATCGCATGGGCAAATTAATAGACAAAATCTGCTAAAGCCTCTAGTATGTGTAGATTATTAATCACATAGCTAAACAGACAAACCCTGTTAATCTTGTACTAGACTCATTGAAATGTTTAGATGTTTTTCAAATAATATATTTATTAAGCTATGATTGGGTAAAACTCTAATACTAGACTTACGTACTTTGATTAAAATATCTAAATATTTTTATATGATATATTCGTCAGACCTCTCTATAATTACAAGTTGGTTGTATCCTATTTTGGTGATTATATAGAGGTGTGATTATAAATAAAATACCTTTTATAGTCACATGACCAAAGGCCAATAAGTAATATATTTATGCATATTTAAAATACTATTAAAAATTTTAAAATGTTTGATAGTAAGTAACTTTTGATCCAGTTAACCAATTTGGATAAAATGTCTACTAGAGTATTTGACTTAATAAGATGATCTTAAAAAGTTCAAATCAGCTAAATCTAATTGCATGATGCTAAGATTATAAGATATTCAAATTAATTAATTTTTAACTATATAAGGTGATACAATTTCTTAATGATCACAAAACCTGTGATTAGATTTTAACAATCTTGGACTCATTAAAATTATCTCGAGACAAATATTTTGGTAGTTGTTTCATTTAAATTGGACCACTGTGTTAAAAGATATTTGCTGTCAAACCTTTAAAAGTTTTAATAGAAT